AAAAAAAAAAAAAAAAAAAACTATTGACCAAAGGTAAAATGAATATGGAAAGGGGAAGGATAAAGAAGAAACAAAATTAGACACTATGAAGGTCTTAAAATGAGCATTGTACTATTAACAGTAGTAATTACCCGTAGCAGCTCTTACCCTTGCATTGTGTTTGAGTACTTCGTTTCAGTTTTTATCCGAGAAGAAACAAGAAAAATTAGGGAAGAGAAGTCAAGGCTTTTTCCATTCTTAAAGCTTTAAGGAAAATAATTGGTGACTCTGAATTGTATGGACCAAGTGGCTTTTCCTTTTCACAGGTAGTTCTCATGTGTTGGGAAAATCGTTTATATGATGCTATGATCTATGTCTACAACAGAGGCATGAATGAATTTATTAGTCCAATGGAGGTAAGATACTTCCTAACTTGTATACATAATTAATTTTGTCTACTAACTTTTTTCTCCTATTCTCCATTTGCTTTTAATAGTTTCTAGTTTTATCAGTTATTTAAAAATTCTTACAGATTTATTGAACTTGAACCCATTTTAGCTTGGGACATTTAGGAAGTCTTCAATTTTATACCTTCTTCCATTGCTTGCTTGCTTATGTACATAAGTAGGTATTTAAATACCAGGGAGCAATAGATAAAATTTAAATTAATGCTTGCTTGTTAGGCTTTACATATTTTTCTCCTAAGAATTTTTAATACTATAGTAACTTTTCCTAAAGATATGAAAAATTTATTTGGTATAATTATTTTATATAATAAATGTACTATTGAGTAATGCTATTTGTAGATATATTCTGCTGGAGAAGACTCCTGAAAATGGTAAGAGGCTGTTATTTGTTAATTGATAATTTTTCACTTTTCCCGACTCAGAATTTTATAGCATTCACTCTATTCTTACGAGAGACTCTACAAAACATTTGGACTTACTTTTAGAAGAATGAAACCCCTTATCCATCTTCTTACTTGTCTCAAGTTTGATGGCGGAATAGTGGAGAATGAGTTGTAGACACATGTAGTGCCCTCCTAGCCCAGTGCTTTATGATAGTAACTGTGTCCCTCAAAAAAAAGCAGGCAACTGCTGAAGGCATCAGTCGACCTTTTTGCTGATTTACTGCCATCCAAAGCTATCTTCAGTATTAAGAAGTCAGCAGTCATTCTGTGGTGGTTCAGGCTTCTTTAAGCACATTAAGTTTACTAGGGCAAATACCCTTCTGATTCATAACCCTTCAGTTTTGGTTGCACCTCTCTTCATTTGGTTAGTTTCTAAAATTAGTCTGCCACCCCTCTTCCCCTGGTTTTGGGGTTTTTTGGCCCTGATTGTCTGTAATGTCGAGTATTTTTTTTTGTCTTCAACACCTCTCAGCTGCTGCTCCATCAAGTCCAGTAGTTCCCTGAAAAAAACTCGTCAGCTGCCTCCTCAGTGAGGTCCAGTGCCTCCCTGCATGCCACAATGAAGCCACAATTTGGAAGAATTAATGCAGTTTCTAGTTTTGCTCAAAATAATCCCTCAAAGCAGATTCTGTTTTGATGCATTCTACATTGACAAGATGATTGCTATGTTTTTGTTATGTTGCTTTTTAAATTTTTGTTTTGCGTGGGTTTTGGATTCCTCATATTAATAAAATCTGGTTTGCATTTATACTGATACATCTCAAATGGAACACTGGACTATTGAGGTTACCTTGTTTTTGTTTTGTGTTCAAAGTAGTTTTCAAGCTTAATGGCTTTCAGCAGAAGCTAGGTATTTGCTATTACTATTACAAAGTCATTTGGAGATTTTAGCTGTAGGAGGTTGGGTATGTCCTATGATTACTCTTTTATAATTCTGTGCCTGTAAGGAAATCACTTTTTAGTGTTTAAAGTTTAGCTATTTTAGTACCTAAGAGAGGTATAAATTAAAGGAAGTATCCTGTCATTTGAAAGTTTCTAGATTTTTTAGAATGAAAGACAGTGTCATCACATTTGAGATGACTGTTACAGTCTCTGAAATCTTTCTTTTTTTTTCTAGTTTTGGCTGAGGTGAGAGTAGTGCCTTGAGTTGGGAAGAAAAACTTATTCTTTACCAATTTAGGTCCCAGCGGTGGGAGGTACAGGGAAAGGATGGAAGGCTTTGAATTAACTGACAATATGCAGATTAACAGGAGAAAAGATAAGGATTATTCACCTGTGTGGGGGGAACACTCAGTAATAAACATCTCTGCTCAGTAGCCAGGGGCAAAGGCTTATATACCAGCTTAACAAAAATGGGGGAAGTAGGGGTAGAGTTAGGTCTTCAGTGGGAAAGTATGGAAAGTACTTTTGGGCTTTTTCATGCGAATGGCAGCTAAATTTGCATTTCCTGGTGCTAAAGATCAGCTTTTTCCCAAATTGGAATCTCCCTCTGAAGAAGCGGGGGAGGTCCATGGCAGCTATATTTCTGTGAGACTCTGCTTAAGTTTAGATGATACTTCTTTCTGCGGTTGCTGATTCTTTATTTTCAGTTTAAAATCATATCTGTTACGACTTTGATGGGAAGTCCTTTTACTTGCTTACTAGTTTTTAAAAGAATAAAGCTTTTAAGAACCAAAGGATACTTTATATCAAAATTATAATCTTAGCTAAACCCTTCATGTAACTGGTGTTTATTGAATGGTTTTTCTCGGTGAGGAATATGACAACAGTGATTGTTTCTCAGTGACCTTCTAAACATTTCATGTACAGATTAAAGGTTTTCATATTTAATTTTAATGGTGAATAACTATTTCCATCAGATAGTGGTGATTAATAGCATAGGATTCTTGGTTATTTTTAAGATAATATCATTTGAGATGATGCTGATTGTTTTTCTATTAATTTTAACGCAGAAACTTTTCAGAGTCATTGCTCCACTTCTGAATGCAGGAAAGACGCTAACAGGTACATTTTCTAATCCTTAATTTTTTGCTTTCCTGTATTTAAGGGATTATTTAAATGTTATAAAGTTTACCAGTTATGTGTGTGTAGTGTGAATGTTGGTAATCACGTACAACCATGTGACACCACCATAATCAAGCTGTAGAAGGAGCTGTCGCCTCTCATACTAAAAAGTTCCTCCTTCCCTTCGTACTTGATCTTCTCCTCTCAGCCCCGCTCTGGGCAGTCACTGATGTACTTTCTGTCACTACACTTCATGTAAATGGAATTCTGTGCTATGTAATCTTTGGTGTTTTCTTTCACTTAACATGGATGAAGCATAATATTTTTTAGAGTCATCCATGTTGTTTTATGTATAATAATATTTTGTTCCCTTTACCACTAAATGCCATTCCATGGATTGAATATACCATAAGCTGTTTAATCATTCACCACTTCATAGATATTTGACTTGCTTTCAGTTTGGGACTACTATGAATAATGTAATGCTGCTTCAACATTTGTGGGCAAGTTTTTTGTTTTTTGCTTTTTTTAATTAAACTTTTTGAGATAATTGCATGCGGTTGTAAGAAATGGCACATAGAGATCTTATATTATCTTTACATAGTTTCCCCAATGATAATATCTTACAAAAATAAAGTATGATATCACAACTGGATATTCATATTGAATTCATATTGATAAAGTCAAGATACAGAAAACTTTCATTACCTCAAGTATTCCCCCTTATTCTCTTAGTCCCCATTCCTGACCCCTAGCTATCAGTTTCTGTGTGGACAAATGTGTTCATTTTTCTTGGGCAAATACCTAAGGTTGGAATGGCTGGATTATATGGTAAATATATGTTTTACTTTCTAAGATACTGCTATATGGTTTTCCCAAATGCTGTATCATTTCTCATCAATAATATTTGAGAGTTCCAGTTGCTCCACATCCTTGCAAGCACTTGATACTATTAGTGCTTTTAAAATCTTCTTAAAACTTTAGCCATTCTAATGAGTAAGTAGTGGTATTTCATTGTGATTTTGATTTTTATTCTCTGATTATTAGTGATGTTAATCATTTTTTCATGTGCTTGCTAGTCATTCACATATCTTCTTTTGTGAATTGTCTGTTTAAATATTTAGCCCTTTTTTTTAAATTGGTGGAGATGATCTGGGGTTCTCTTCATATTATTGAATTGTTAAGAGTTGCAAGCTAGTGAGCTTGCCATCAGAGCCTGGAAGAGTTTTTTTTTTAATGTATTCTGGATATAAGCCCTTTTCCAGTATGTTTGGCAAAAATTTTATCGTCATCCATAGCTTGCTTTTTTGTTTTCTTTACCATGTTTTTCAAAGAGCAAAGGTTTTTAATTTTCATGAAGTTCATCTTATTAATTTTTTTTATCATTTAGGCTTTTGGTATTCTGTTTAAGAAATCTTGGTTCAATCCAGTGTCATAAATATCTTCTCTTACATTTTCTTGTAGAAATTTAATAGTTTTAATGCTTCTATTTAGATCTGTAATTCATTTTGAGTTAATTTTATAAATGATGCAAGGTAAAGTTCAGGCATTTTTTTTTCCTTGCAGCTGTCAGTTGTTCCTGTAAGTCTTACATTTCTTAATAAGATTATCTTATTTTCACTGAATTACCTTGACACCTTTGTGAATAGTCAAGTGACCATATCACTGGGGGTCTGTTTCTGTGCTCTCCGTTCTGTTATATTGAGCTATATGTCTGTCATCCAACAGTGCACTGTCTTGATTATTGTGACTCGTAGTAAGCCTCAAAATCGCACATTTTAAGTCCTACAGTGTTGTTTTTCTGTTTCAAAATTGGTTTATTTAGTCCATGTTCTTTGCCTTTCTATATAAACGTTAAAATCAGCTCATCAGCTTTTTTCTAAAAAGCGTATTTGAATTTTCTTTGAGATTGCATTGAAGCTATAGATTAATTTGTAGAGAGAATTGCTATCTTAACACTGTAGAATTTTCTAATCTATGAATATGATATGTTTTTTACTTTTATCCTTTAAAATTAATTAATTTTCTTTTAGAGAGAGTCTTAACTTTGTTAGTTAGGCTGGAGTACAGTGGTGTGATCATAGTTCATTGCAGCTTCAAACTTATGGGATCAAGTCATCCTCCTGCCTCAGCCTCCCAAGTAGATGGGACTGTTGACCACCATACCCTCACAAGTTAAAAATTCCTAAGATAGGGTCTTGCTATCCTATCCTGGCTCACTGCACCCTCTGCCTCCCAGATTAAAGCAAGTCTCTTGATCAGCCTCCCGAGTAGGTGGAACTACAGGTGCCTGCCACCATACCCAGCTAATTTTTTATATTTTTAGTAGAGATGGAGCTTACCATATTGGCCAGGCTGGTCTCAAACTCCTGACCTCATGATCTGCCCACTTCGGCCTCCCAAAGTGCAGGGATTACAGGGGTGAGTGACTGTGCCTGACCCTTATTTTGGTCTTAAAGTCATTTTGCTTTCCCCTTTTCTGCAGAAAAGGCATCTGGGATTTTGATAAGGATTGCTTTGAATCGGTACTTCAATTTTATTACTATCTTTGTATTACCAAATTTTTCAATTCATGAATACAGCACATTTTTTCATTTTATTTAGGTTTTCATTAATTTTTTTCAATGATATTTTGCAGTTTTTAATGTATAGGTCACATACTTCATTTCCTCTTCCTTAGTATTTTATTCACCTTGATGGTGTTATAAATGGAATTGTTTTCTTAATTTTATTTTCAGGATGTTAATTGATAGTGTGAAATAGGTTGACTTTTATATATTGACCTTGTATCCTACATCCTTGTTGTATTCATTTGTTAGTGATAATTTTAAAAGTTAATTCCTTAGAATTTTCTAAGGAAAATTCAGATCATGTCATCTGCAAATAAAAATAATTATACTTTTTCCTTTCTAATCTAGATGCCTTTCTTTTTATTTCCTAATTGGCCTGGCTACACCCGCTAATATGGTGTTGAACAAAAGTGGCAAGAATGGACATCTTTTTGTTTTCTTGATATTAGGGGAAAGCACTCGGTATTTCATCATCTAATTTGATGTAGATGGTCTTACTCATTCGATGACATTTTCTTTTCTTTTTTTTTTTGAGACGGAGTTTCGCTCTTGTTACCCAGGCTGGAGTGCAATGGTGCGATCTCGGCTCACTGCAACCTCCGCCTCCCGGGTTCAGGCAATTCTCCTGCCCCAGCCTCCTGAGTCACTGGGATTACAGGCACATGCCACCATGCCCAGCTAATTTTTTGTATTTTTAGTAGAGATGGGGTTTCACCATGTTGACCAGGATGGTCTCGATCTCTTGACCTCGTGATCCACCCGCCTCGGCCTCCCAAAGTGCTAGGATTACAGGCTTGAGCCACCGTGCCCGGCCTCGATGACATTTTCTTTACCCAGTTTGAGTGTTTCTAACATGAAAGACTCTTGGATTTTATCAGATACTTTTTCTGCATCTATTAAGATTATTTTGTGGGTTTTGTCCTTTATTTTATTGATATGATCTATTTGATTGAGTCTGTATATCAAGCCAACCTTGCATTCTTGGGATAAATCTCACTTGGCATATAATCTCAGAAATGTTGCTGGATTCAGTTTGCTAGTATTTCTCAAGGATTTCTGTGTCTGTGGTCATAAGAGATATTGTTCTACAGTTTTGTTTTGTTTTGATATCTTCTTATCAAAAGAATACCAGTCTTGTTATGAGTGTGTCTTGGTATGTTTGCCTCATAACATGAGTTGGGAAGTGTTCTCACTTTTATTTTTGGAAAGAGTTTGTGAAGCATCAGTGTTAATTTTTTTTAATGTTTGGTAGAATTCAATGTGAAGCCATGTGTGCCTGGGCTTTTCTTTATTGGAAGTTTTTAAATTATTAGTTGTTTTGGTCTGTTTTGTGCTACTGTAACAGAATACTTAAGACAGGGTAATGTATAAAGAACACGAACTATGTCTTATAATTCTGGTGGCTGAGAAGTCCAAAATCAAGGTACTGGCACCTCATGTCTAGTGAAGGCCTTCTTGCTGTGTCCTCATCTGGGAGAATTTGGAAGGACAAGTGGGAACAACCATTGTGTCCTCAATTGGCAGAAGAGTGGAAAAAGACTCAACCCAGTCCAGCAAGCCCTTTTTTTACTAGAACATTAATCCATTCATGAGGGTGAAACCCTCATGACTTAAACACCTCCCCAAATGCCCCCTTCTCCCAACAGTGATGCACTGGGGATTAAGTTTACAACACATGAATTTTGGGTGCCACATTCAGACCATAGCACTAGTTTAGTTTCTTTGTTTGTTGCAACAATTTATTCAGATTATCTGTTTCTTTTTGAGTGTTTGTTTCAGTAGTTTTTAAATTTCTAGACATTTGACCATTTCATCTGCAGTATCTTAATATGTAGGCATATAGTTGTTCATAGTATTCCTTTGTAATTTCTTTTATTCCTGTAAGATCAGTAGTGATGTCTCTCTCATTACAAATTTTTGTAATTTGACTCTTTTTTT